GGGGCGCGGGCGCCGGCGGGGCGGGAAATCTAAGTGGGGTGGGGGAGGGGTCATCGATGAGGTCATCGATGAGGTCGTCGGGTCATCGATGAGGTCATCGGGGCGCCCGTGACGTCATCGGGTGAGCGGTGGCGCCGTTGGATCGTTGATGGTGGGGTTGGGTGGCGATGACGTCGTTGGGTCATTGATGATGTCATTGATGAGGTCATTGGCTCATTGATGATGTCATTGATGAGGTCGTTGGGTCATCAATGGGCTCGTTGGCCATTGATGATGTCATTGGGTCATTGATGGGGTTGCCCAGTTGGGTGGGTGATGGTTGGACCGGTTGGGGGTGATGGCACCGGCACGGTGAGAATGGGCCCAACTCAACCAACCCAACTCAACCAACCCAAACCAACTTAACTAACCCAAATCCAACCCAACTCAACCCAACCAACTCAACCCAATCAACTCAACCCAACTCAACCAACCCAAACCAACTCAACCCAACTAACCCAAATCCAACCCAACCCAACTCAACCCAACTCAACCAACCCAAATCAACTCAACCCAACTCAACCCAACCCAATGCAACTCAACCAACCCAAACCAACTCAACCCAACTAACCCAAATCCAACCCAACTCAACCGACCCAAATCAACTCAACCCAACTCAACCCAACTCAACCCAACTCAACCGACCCAACCCAACCCAACTTAACTAACCCAAATACAACCCAACTCAACCCAACCAACTCAACCCAACCCAACTCAACCCAACTCAACCCGACCCAATCCAACTCAACCCAACCCAACTCAACCAACCCAACTCAACCCAACCCATTCCAACTCAACCCAACCCAATCCAACTCAACCCAACCCAACTCAACCCAACTCAACCCGACCCAATCCAACTCAACCCAACCCAACTCAACCAACCCAACCCAACTTAACTAACCCAAATACAACCCAACTCAACCCAACCAACTCAACCCAATCAACCAACCCAACTCAACCCAACCCAACTCAACCCAACTCAACCCGACCCAATCCAACTCAACCAACCCAACTCAACCCAACCCAACTCAACCAACCCAACCCAACCCAACTCAATCAACCCAACCCACCCAACCCACCCCTTGACCCC